TTGCTGCCGAAGCTACTCGGCCCCGCCCCCAGCACACAGGTCCCACTCATTGTAGATGTTGCTGCTGAAGCTGCTCGGCCCCGCCCCCAGCACACGGGTCCCACTTATTGGAGATGCTGCTGCTGAAGCGGCTCAGCCCCGCCCCTCCATAGCCACGCCCCTCTGGATACAGGTCTCTCTTGTAGGAGCTGCTGATGTAGCGGCCGCTCTCTGTCTTAATCTTCTTCTTGTCTTCCTGTCCTGACTGTCCCACAAATCGCTTCTTCTTACGGTCCCTGCAGGAGAGGGAGTTGGGAGGGCTGCCGTGGAGGGAGACACCTGGAGTGCCGGCGCCCGCTCCCCGACCTTCTCATCGGGTTGTTGCAGCATTAAAGGACAGCAGTGCAGCCATGTCTGGCATGCAGTTGGTGCTCAATAAAGGCAGCTTTGGTTCCCTATCCCTCCTCACCTCTCCCTGGCAGTCCAGGTCTCAAAAGGGAGTGTGGCGGTCAGAGGACTGGCACCAGCACTTGGGCCTGGCTCAGGGACAAGAGCCCCCTGGAGGCTTTAATCACCTGCCCCTTCCCGGTTGTGACCCTGGGTTGAGACTCGTCCATTCTCTAGACATTAGAGTCCTCCTGAACAAATGGGTCCTAAGTCCTGTCTAGAAAGATTTGCCAGCAAAAAGGACAGATGGGGTATCAAGATCCCTGTGGTGTGCAATCAAATCAAGGGGACAGGACAGCCAGAGACCATCACACCTACTGTGAGTAGTCACATGGGTACAGCCAGGTCATAATCCCAGTTGTGCAAGATCAGATGGGAGTGAGGACATCAGGGAGCTCACCCTGCCTGGTGGCATGGAGGTGGGGCTCACTCCTCACTCACCCTGAGCACGGAGGGAGGGGCAGTGGCTCACTCCTCACTGGCCCTGAGCAAGGAGGGAGGGGAGGCTCACTCCATCACTCATCTGGGGCATGGAGGGAGGGGCAGCTCACCCGCTCACTCACCCTGGGCATGGAGGGGTGCTCACTCCATCACTCACCTGGGGCATGGAGGGAGGGGCAGCTCACCTGCTCACTCACCCTGGGCATGGAGGGGTGCTCACTCCATCACTCACCACTTGAGCTGCTGGCGGCCCCTTGTGAGATTCTGGGCTTCATCCCCCATCAGGTCCAGGACAGCACCAGCTGCCTGCTGCTCGAAGGCTCCCGCTTCCCCGCCGACGCTCAGGCTGCAGAGGGAGAGTGGGAGACACGATTGGGGTATGGGACCCAGCGGACCTGCCTGCTCCACCCAGGACCCAGCCAGCCACTCACCCCCGCTCGCTGTCGAAGTCCTTGGGCCGGTAGGGGATGTAGAATTCCTGGTCCCGCTGCCGGGCCGCCTCCCTCTGCCTCTTGGCTCCCCTGTCGGGTCCCGACCTCGGCCGCTTCCGGCCCAAGACCTCTGAGAAGACATCCTGGCAGAGTGTGGACTGAGTCACGCCTGCAGCCCCCTGGGGAGCCCCCCCGGCCTCCCCACCCACCAGCCCGGCCACAGTGAGGGGCCAGTGGTTTCCCAGGGACTTGAAAAGCTTCACTCTGCCATTTCTTAGCTGGGTGACAGTGTCTCCTGTGGGACCCTCAGTTTCCTCATCTGCACACAGAGCACAACCCCTGCCTCAGGGACCGGCAGAGGCAGGACAGCTGCGTGAGGAGGAGAGTGCTGGTGGGGGAGACCCAGCTCCCCATTCCCGCTCTGCACCCCAGGCCATGCGACAGCCGGCCCTGGCCCTCTCTGCACCTGGCCTGCTCTGAACATGGACCCAACCGCTCTTCTTGGCTACCGAACCCTC